TGGACTGGTGTCCTGTCTGGGGTGTGTCTGTGTGTGAGAGTGTCCTGTGATGGACTGGTGTCCTGTCTGGGGTGTGTGTGTGTGTGAGAGTGTCCTGTGATGGACTGGTGTCCTGTCTGGGGTGTGTGTGTGTGTGCCCTTGGATGGACTGGTGTCCTGTCCAGGATGTACCCTGCCTTTTGCCTGTTGTTTTCTGGGATAGACTCCAGCTCCCCTGTGACCCTGTATTGGATGAAGTGGTTAGAACATGGATGGATGGATGGATGAAATTGTTAGATAATGCCAAGTAAAATTACACGTAAGTCTTATTTTGTTCATGCAAAATATCTATATAAATGAGTTTCATACCCATACTAGGACAAAGAACAAGCTATTAAGTTCCATCATGGCTGAATATTTTATTAAAATTGGAGTGCATAATTGGAACAGATCATAGCGAAACTTAAGGAGGGCTACAAAACATAGTTCACAAAGCATCTTACAATCAGAGGTGACAATAAAACTCTTACAAAACCAAATGGCAATTCATCTACAGTATATGCCATAATACATGATTGAGGAGTCCCACCGGAAAACCTGTTCCAGGCAAAGCTGAGAAAATATGAAGCACACTGGAAGTATACTGTAGATGTGCTCTGTTCAGAACATCATTCAAGCTCAAGTACAGATTTAAAACAAAGTCAGGCACAATTTCAGTCCAGATTAATTTGATCTTAATTGAAATGAGGATGATATGGCTTCAGTAATGCATCCTGAGGTTTAATGCTCATTACATCTGCATTTTAGTCATTTAACGAATGCTAATATCATTTAACTAAGAAAAGAGGGAAGCTGTCAAGCTGAAGCAGGTGGCCTTCTGGGACTTGCAGCTGAGAGCTACCGGCAGGTGAGAGAGGTCACTGGAGCGAAGGCTCGGGCAGGGGAGGACTTTGGAGAGGCCATGGAGAAGGACTATCGATGGCCTCGAGGATGTTCGGGCCTGGGCAGGGGCAGGGGAAGGGGTGACCTCGTCCGGGCTGTGCTAGGCAGGGCCGGGGCAGTACTGACCTCTCCTGGGGAGACTGTTGAGCGGTGGAAGGAACACTCTGAGGGAGTCCTCCACCTGGTGGACACGCCCTGCCTCCTAGCAGGAGGCGGTGACAGACAGACCTGGTGCCAAGCTCTCGGCTTACCAGTGGATCTACATCCCCGTCCTCACCGGTGGTCATGAGCTGTGGGTACGAGATCGCGGATACAAGCGGCAGAAACGAGGCTTCTCCGCAGGGCTGCTGGGATGACTCTCTGCGACAGGGTGAGGAGCTGGGCAATCTGGGAGAGCCTCGGAGCAGAGCCCCTGCTCCCCCAGATCGAAGGTCAGCTGTTCCGGGCACGTCCCACTGGGCGGAGACCCCACGGGAGACCCAGGACACGCTGGAGGGACTATATCTCTCGGCTGGCTTGGGATCACCTGGAATCTCTCGCTGGGGACAGGGGAGTCTGGGCTGGTCTACTCGGCCTGCTGCAACCGCGACCCTCACCAGGAAAAGCGGAGTGATGATGGATGGATGGATTTAACTAATGCATTCCTGCGCTGCATAAAACCTCAGAAAACGTTTCTTTTATTTCTTGGCAGTTTGTGGATGAAAATACGAAAGCGATCAGAACACACAGTCAGGCAGGTGGTATTAACATCTGAGCAAAGAGACGGCAGATTAAAATACATTGCAATTGTATGCTGAACTGATCGCTGCACACCTGTCTGAAACAACATGGCAGTGACAGGTACAGTACAGGTAGGTCATGGTTTGTAAACAAACGAGTCAAATGGCAGTTGATCCACATCCAGTCTGGGATCTGTTGTTTCTCCGCTACATCAGACTCCTTCGGATTCTCCGTTTCTTTGTGGATGTCAGATTGGTCTGTGTCATGTCTGCGTGAAGGGACAAGTCAGCTAGTAAGGATAGTCCAAAAACAAATTACATTCAAGCCAAAAAAACTACCACAGCTAGTGAACATAGCTCATGACTAAACGTTTTGTATGCAGTGAGCTACCTCTGTATTCGCTGTATAATGCAAAAGCCTTAGAACGGAAGGCAGAGGGGCCTGACTCTGGTCCTGCAGGCCTGGAGTGTCTGCAGGTCTTCCTCCCGGCTCGGCTCTGTCAGCGCTGGGAGACGGGGAGCCTGCAGCCCTCGCTTTCCTCGGCAACTCAGCCCAGGCCTGCGAGAAGCCGCATTCTGCCCCGGTCCACTCAGACTCGCTTGGGGCAGATTTCCTCACCCCCCTTCGTCCAATTAACCCCTCTGTTTCTACGCTGGCCAGCAGCCATATCACCCTGCAACTCACAACTGGCAGCCCCACTGGAGCTCAGCAGGTGCGAGCCTGGCCAGTACCTGGATGGGAGACCTCCTGGGAAAAACTAAGGCTGCTGCTGGAAGAGG